AAGTGCAGTAAATGAAATGCAGAGAGTGGGGGCTTACTTAAGTGTCTCCCCGCTGGTCAGTGCGTCTGCCCAAAAAAAAAGTATGTTTTTTTTTCAGCGATGGGGGGGGGGGGGGGAGTATCCAACACATTGGCGGTCGGTTCGCAATGCTCCCCTGGGGCTCCGAACATATAGACTGAGTCAACCTGACCCCATCCCTTTTCCCCTCGCTGAGGGCTACACCAGCCACTGACGACACCCAACCTGAGGTCCACAGTGATAGACGACTACAGCTGGGGGGAATGTAGTAGACACTGGATCATAGGCACCAATGTTCAACTCAACCCTACATTTCCTGATCTTCTAGGAGTACGACTGCGTGGTACATTCATGCTCAAAATGAAAGATTTAAAGGGGAATCTCTGCCACGTGACAGAGAACGTATCTCTTACTCAGAAATCCCATAATTCCCCCAGATACTTCTTGGTTTAAAGCTTACAGACTGAGCATCTTGAAAAGAGATGGTTTTGAAGGTGAGCCAAAGGACTGCGCCTTCCTCTCTGGGGGGGCTTTGGGAGTTAATGTGAGGCGTGATGTGGAAAATAGATTCCATCTGACCCCACAGACCCCCTGGGGGAAAATTGTTTAATAGGATATTGAAATGGTGAGCATTTATGGACTGAGTGCGGGCAATTTGCTTAATAAACTTTCAGGCAGCCACTAGCCACCTAAAAGCAGACCCATACTCAAGGCAGACCCTGGCAAGAACCCTACATTTCTCCCACACTGACTGGTCAACACTTAGGGGGTGTGTCCAGGGAGTTACTGCCCTGCCCACCAGATAGCTGGGTGGCCCAAGCATAAATCAGTGGGGGGGAAGGCCTTCAATTGCGCCACATGCCAGCTACTCCCAGCACAATTCTCAGGCACATATGTGGTGCTGCTCTGTGCCTTTGGAGATGAAAGCCAGCAGATGTTTGTTTTTATTCCCTGATCATGACCAGTTGTGGTTTTTCTTTTTTTTTGTTAAAAAAAAAAAAAGAAAAAGATCAATACTATAAACTTTCTGCTGTGTCTTTGGGAACTGTTTCAAAACAACATGCGGGACGATTCGAGCATCTAATTTGGGTACCTCCGCGGCGGTGAGGTGGGGCCCCAGACGGTCTGCAGGGGCCCTGTACATATTTTCACCTCATCCAGTTATGATGAGCCAATGGCGTAAGGTGTCAGGGACAAATGAAGTGTCATCTGAGCATCTCAGCAGGGAGCCAAACCCCCAGATGCGGCCTCGAAGCGCGGAAGAGCGGCCCCCTCCCGGCCACTCCCCCCAACCATGCTCGCAACCGGGTCCACCTGCAGTGCGGAGCTCTCCCGCACTTCATCTGTCCAACCCAGAAAAGCTTGACAGCGAAAGGGGAGATTCAGATTCAGGCAGGGTGGTTCTTCTTAGTGGCTCGTCGCTGCACCCTGCAGGCCGGGGCGAAGATGACGGCAGAGGGTCTTGATCCGCTCCAACCTCTTCTTCAGCACCTATAATATTATCATATTTTATTACTCAGGTGAAATAACCAAAGCTCCCCTGCAACAAAATGATTTACAGCACAGTCATTTGTTTTAATATTACACATTTTTAAAAGTTAACCTGTATGTAGAGCTTACCTGCCTGCTGATGATAGGCAGGACAAGCCTGTTCTCAGGGGCAGGGTGGTTGGGGTTGGGCCTCTTGCATTAGTTTGACATGAGCTCACTGCCGCATGAAAACGCTCAACTGATTTCTGAGTGGGTGGAGTTACGGCAGGCGGTGGGGGGGTGGGGGGTGCACACTGCAAATGACATGCTACCGGTAATAGCTGGCTCCATGGGTTTCCTCTTTCAGAAAGACAAGCCCCTAAGCTCGCACAAAGCCCCCACGATTCCGGAAGCCTTTATCCTAGATCCCAGCAAAACATGCGTACATGACCACACATTCACGCCAGTGTGCCTTTCGTCTCATTTATCACCAGAGCACATGACAATGCCTTCCGATACCTTCATTTCACACAGAATTTCCCCAATTTAAAAATGTCATTTCAATCTCTTACAAAGACAGCTGACCAATTAACACAATTATCAACAAACTGCAGGATAAAGGCAAACATGATTACAATCTAACAGCAATTTTTAAAAAAGAAAATCAACATTGCTAGATAAAAAAAAAACTCTTACCCTTCCCAGTACACTAAGTACTGCAGAGTTACAAATATTTACTGATTTTTATACGGTACAAGGGCCATGAAGCATATTTAACTGAAGTCTATCGCTGTATACTTGGGTATGAAAGTGAATGAATAAATGAATAAAAGTTACTTTCATATAGTGCTTATTCAAGCACTCAAAGTGCTTTACAGAATCAATGGGGAGCCCCTTCAACCACCAGCACTGTGTGGCCCCCACCTGGATGATGCCACGGCAGCCATTCTGCACCAATGTGCTCACCATACAGTAACTAAGGTGGTGAAGAGAATTCACCAATTAGATATGGGAAATGATTAGGAGGCCAGATTTGAAAGAGCCACAGGGGGCAGTTCAGGGCATTGGGATGCACCACCCCTACTCTTTGAAAAGAGGCCTTGGGATCTTTCAGTGTCTCAGAGTGTCGAGGCCTCAGTTTTACATCTCATCCAAAGGATGATGCCATTTTTACCCAACAGTGCACTGGGGGATTGGTATCCACACTGACCACAGGATGAGCTAACCGGCTGGCCACAGTGTCCCCATTAGTGCATTGGGATCCACGTAGACCACAGGACGGGCTAACCAGTTGGCCAACAAGCACTTCATCCAGCAGCAACCCAGCTTTCCTAGTAGGTCTCCCATCCAAGTACTGGTTCAGGGCCAACCGGATTAGCTTTAGGTAGATTACCTAGTCTGAACAGCAGCTGCTAAAGTTGTAGATGCAAGTTAAACTGAGTCACCTTAAGTCAACATCTACATCTGCATGTTAAACAGCAAGCATGACATGCTTATAGCCTTCAAATGTACTTCAATACTCAGAAAAAATAATTAACTTCAAACAAGAAACACTACATATATGTTACTTCTGACTACAAGTGGTTTTAGAAAAAGAAAAAAAAAAATCAGAATTACTGATCCATAACAGGCAATATTTTAAATCAAACACAACATCAAATTTAGGGTCAATAATGAAAGGGTTCAATGTAATTAACACTTTCTTTTGTCCAAGCTTCCGTTGTCCATAACAAGCTACTACCTAACAAACATTTAAGCATTCAGAAAAAAATTTACGGAATCTTTGCTGCAAATGGACGTTCCTATACGTAGAAATACCTCCCTGTGCTATAAAAACAATCTTTATCTTGGTCAAATATGCACATTCATAAGCACACTTATCTAGAGCGCACCCCGGTGGGGCTTTTGTTTTCCTAGGAAGTACATTTGATTGGGTGAAGCTGGTGGGATTCTGCGCGCTGCCAACAGGAGGCAGTGGAGAGTCCGGTGCGGACCAGCACTACTTGGTCACGATCAGGTTCTTCTGATAAGCATTATGTCCAGTTGCCAGTAGGAGGCGACGGAGAGGCCAGAGACAGACTATCGCTGCTTGGTGACGACCAGGTTCCTCAGCATGTCGAAAGAGTTGCCATCGGGATGCACGGACACGACGCCCAGCTCTGCAGACCGCACCTGCAGGAAGCCATTGTCATCCAGGCCCACCACCTCCACCTGGGGCCCGTCCTCGCTCTGCAGGCGGACCTGCGTGCCACTGAGAGAGGGGGGCGGGGTGGTGTGGGTCAGGGAGAGACAGGAAGGGGGGGTGGGCATCCTCATTTAAAAAGTTACCAAAGCTGCAAGTTACATGCCTCAGTTAACAGAAAATAATAAAGACTGACAATAAAGTCAAACTGCATTTCCTAAAGCCAACTGGACCTTAAAATTGGCTTGGTGTAGGGGCAGCATGAGCCTGTCTGTTGTACCACTGAATAAACTTGAATTTATTGATTTAACTTGTAAAAAAAAAAAAAAAAAAACTGGTATATACAGTACCAGTGGATTTTCAGCAGGTGTGTCCAGACTATCATTTTTCAATAAGATAATGACACTAAACCCACCTGGAGGGTATGCAGTAAGAATTATCTTGCGCGTGGGTGGAGCAGTGGCTCTGAGGTCCTAAGCCAGCAATTGTAAGGTTGCTGGTTTGAATCCCATTAAAGCCTGGAGTGATTTTACTCCATTGGACCCTTGAACAAGGCCCTTAACCTGCAATTGCTTTGTCCTGGGAATGATGTCGATCTATATCCAGCCCTGCAAGCAGGGCCTCCAACTTACAGGGAAAATTTGGGGGCTGGTGGTAGGATTAGCACTGCAGCCACTGGAAAAAAACTCACGCTGGTCCACTAGTGTGGTGCTGAGGTGTCGCCTGCCACATGGCTGCACTCAGGTCCTCATGCCTGAGGTGGTTTGTTGTGTGGTGAGTGCGGCAACACGCTTTAATCAGCACATGCTCCTTGCCTTACCACCATTATCTTGTGAACAAGGAGAGAGACAAAGTGCTGTGACAGCTGACCTGGTCTCCAATCTCCAAACCTACACCCTAAAGAGCGG